TCCCAGAATTCCCCAGCCAGCAAATGCTGGCTGGGGAATTCTGGGAGTTGAAGTCCAGACATCTTCAAGTTGCCAAGGTTGAGAAACACTGCTTTAGTCTTGCCAATTATGCTGCATTTTCTGCTTCAGGATTTATCATGTCATTTCTTTTTACTAATTCAAAGTACAAATGTTTTTGTTTTTTTTTTACAAATGTTATCAACCAAGTGAATTTTCAATGTGAGTTTTCTTTGTATGTGTTAGAAAACGTTGAAGGAACTCAATTTTTCAACCTGCTGAATGTTTTGAAATTTGGCAAACAATTAAGATACCAAAATAGGATACTTTATTCTACATTAGCTGATTATGCCGCATCAGTCTTCTATACATGGAACAGAAATGAGGTAAATATATAGGATGTCACTATTCATATTACTGACATTCTCAATTGTAAATGAATGGTATAGCATCAGATGTTAATATTGCTTTTAATTTTATTTTATTCATGATATTATTAGGATAATCCCTGTAACTGCATAGGAATGGGGAGAGGTGTTGCAATATGGACAGTATAGTTAATCTGTTTTTCCTCTATACTTTCACAGATTATGATGGACTATGAATAATGTGAATAAAATGTTTTTGTTTTATATACTTGATAAATGATACTAAATGATAAGAAGTTTAGAAATGTAGAGATTGGTTTGTTCGAAGAAGTTATCAGGAATGTGAAAATAGGTCGGAAAGATGTAAATAAAAATTTAAGTATAATCGGATTTCTTAACAGAATTACTGGATTTAAATACGTGCAATATGATGTTTTTGTGGTCTAGTTATTTGAGACAGATTTAATTCTTCCATGTGTTTAAAGATACAGTGGCACTTCGCCATCCAATCTAAAAAGGTTTCCAATGCAGGTCATATTATATAATATAGCTCATATTATAAAATATAGTGGCAATGTAATAATAAGTCCATGCAAAATTTTACCCCTCCACTAGTGATAAAACCAGAAAAATATAATCAAATAGAAATAGATACATCAGTCTCCAAATACATGGTTTGTTGAATTTTATTAAATTAGAATTTAATAGAATTTGTATGCCACCCAATCCCGTGGGACTCTGGGCGGCTTACAGAGCAAGATAAAAACATTTAAAAATTTAAGACTAAAAATACAGTAGTTAAAATTACACACCATCCATT